GGTTTATAACTCTAGCACAAAAAATATCAGTATTACCTCCCTTGAACTTAGATTTTTTAGGGGAAAAAATGTTGTCTTTTTTAAATAACTTCTTTATTTCCTAATGTATCTACTTCAAACTTCATATATATGTTTCTTATTATCACTCGACATTTTTGAGAAGGTTAAATACTCTAGCAAGACTATTTCCAGAATTATGTCGCCCTTGAACTTAGATTTTTTTCGAGAAACTTGTATTTTCACTCCAACTTCTTCATTCCTTATAGGATTTACTTTAAAATCCCACATCGTAATAATATGACAAGGTTGTATAAACATAATTTACTTACTAAGTATGGAAACTTAACACATTACTGTGATATAGACAAACTTATTTTGTTATGTTTTGTGGTTGATATTTTCAAATACAGACTTCATCCTCAAATTCATTATAAATGGCAATACACAGGAGTGTATGACAATTAAAGAACTTTTTTGAGGGACCGGTAGGGGACTACTGTATTGCTCGCAATACTATCAAATGCTTGTTTAATTTGCATTTCTTTGTAAAAGACAACAACAAGACATTGTTTGAACGAAATTTAAAATCATTTTTTATCCTTAAAATATTTTACGATTGTCTCCTGAGTTAACATTGAGAAGAATTAAAAGTAAAATCTATCTGAATAAGTTAAATAACCCATTAAGGGCCTCAATATTCGGGTATGCGCAGAACAGATTATTTCCCCTCATTACCAGGTCATGGAATAACTAGTAAACTAAAGGATATGTTAGTAAATAAAGAACTGAACCAATAATATTTGCCTGAGAGTGGTTTTGTTGTTATTTACTTTGCAGTAGAAAGTGTGTGTACGATTCAGACCAAATGATTTTTGAATTGAAGCAAAAAATAAAGCCTTATTTGACAGGAATAGATTTTGTCCGGTAAACATGTAGGATCCCAGTATGTGCGGTTTTAGAGAGACTTTGCAGTATTTCATTACCATATCTTAAACCAATAATGGCTGTTTTTGCATTTGTTGCAACTTTTTGGTAATTTTCTTGGATTGTAAGTGCCGATTGCACTATGTTAATTACTTTATTTGTTCACCTCAATATTTTACTATTAAATATTCATTTCTAAAATTTTCATGAAAATTAACATTAATCTGGAGGCATGCTGCTTTAATGTCTCTAAAGTGGGTAGAAGTTGTAAAATTGAGAGAAATAGAATCCCTAAAGAACATACAAAACAGCACAATTGAACATGTTGCATGTTCAGTATGAATGAACCTAATTCATGGATGGTACAGGAAAGTGCAAGCTTATCATCCATTTAAGCATTGGCTTTAAGCGGAATTCAACATTAAGATAATGTTTAATTAGAATTAAAAAGATAAGGGTTTGATTTAAATTAAATGAAGTGTTTCAATCAAAGATCATGATATGTTTCATATAATTATCATTTTGTGACACATTTCATACAATCAACGCAGATATTGTGATTAAATCAATTGTTCTGAAGAACAATTGAACGAGAGCACTTGATTATTTCCTGCTGTTATAATGAGTCGGGGGTCAAGTTGGTGTCCTACGCTGTACCAACTGCTGCATCATCTACTGTGTACAGTATTAATATGTGTCGTCGAATCCGGAACTGTCTGTTTTAATGTGTTTCAGTTGTGTTTACTATGTATATACAATGTATATGTGGTTAGTTTATTGTGTAGGAAGCTATAAGTTTATATTATAATTATACACACTGACAAATCTGTTACTGGAACCAACCAGTACTGAACAATGAGTGTATTGTTTCACATTTTATTTTATATATTAAATTGTTATTGTATATCTTTATTCAAATGTATATATAATTTTTTGGCTCAAAACATTTGGAAACAAATTAGCTTACCCTGATGGAGTTTGATGCCACATGGCAAGTTATCCTTAGATTACTGTCAGACGCATTAACCACAGACACTTGGGGGTCAGACCAATAGGGGGTCAGACCCCCTGGCTTGAACTGCCCTTAACCACCCTTTTTACTATCATGGCGTGTTGTAGCAATTTTGAAGAATAACGTCCCCTATTCTATTTGGTTCTAATTTTATTGAACCCATAGAAAGGTGGTAATTAAGACCTATCTTTTTCACATCTTATAGTACATGTATAGTAAATGTATAAGTTGTGGCATTCGAGCATTTAAAGCCCACAACATCTGTGACGTAACCGTTCGTGTACTTTTACCTGAAAAATAACACCAAACCTATGAAGAATCGATTATTAGTGAAAGGATACAGTGTCATATGTACATTGTATATTTAGGACAATCTTCATATTTCATTGTGTTATATGTAATGAAAGAATTTCTTTACTTTTATAATTTGTATTCATATTTGAATACAAATAAATCATATAACTCCCCATCAGCAGCTATTTTTGATACAAAAAATGTACAGACTCAATCAAGCTGATCTGAGTCTGTAATTTTTATGTCATTTTGCTGTTTTTATCATGCTTCTGAAGGATCACTTTTTTCCAGATATTCAGAAAATTTGAAGAAATTGTGTTGTTGTTTTGTTCTATGCAATGTTGATAAAAGAGATTCCTTTGCATCTGCTGATGAAAATATATGTTACTGCTGTTAAATCTTTAATATAGTTGGATAGATATGCTGTAGGTTAGATGCATATAGGTGTTGTAAATACTTTTCGATATTTGAGACATTTTATTCTAGAGGTCATTTCTTGCGCTTCAGATGTTGATAAAATAGCATATTTTGGAATTTGATAAACAAAATAAATCAGTTTTAATGTTTTGATATGTTGTATAAATGTGTCAGATAGGATGAGGAATTTAGGGCTGTTATAAAACTTGATAAAGGGAGATAAGTAGGGAAAACAGCTGCAATAAACTGGAAATGATTGAACGAGATTGTGCCACACATGTGTTGATAAGGAAACACTTTTCATATTTATATTGCACTTATATCTTGTTAAAATTTTTAAGATGTTTCTCTTAACAAACTAAATTTGAATAATGGACTTTTCCTGGTTTTAAGTTGGAACTGTCCACTGGTAATGTTAGGGATGTTGAAAGTGAAAATGGTAGGAACACTCCATTGGTAACTGGAGGGATATTGATGCAAAATTTAGTGTGCCTGTCATAATTTAGTAACTGAGTTTTGTCAGATTGCATGCCAATGTGCTGCCAACATTTAAAGATATTTTACGTGTATTTTGTTTTATAGAACTTGGAATATTAGACTGTTTGCATAACTGCAACTTTGGTTTTTCGACTTCTTATAATTATTCCTTTGGAAATAATTACCCAAAAGAGGTTTATCCCTTAAACTGTCAGAACCGGAAGTGATAAGCCTTTGCTAGAACTAGTATAGAGACAGGCCAGTCTGCACATCTTGCAGTGCAGGGTGACCAGAAATCTATAATATTGATAGCTTTTTGTTTTTCAGTATTGAAATCCCTTAAACTTTGAATGGACTGAGTCAAAGTCAATGTAGAACAATCCATTCTACCAATTGTATAAATTTAGTCTTGGTTTTAATATGTGGCAAATACATGAATGACACTGGGGTCTGTCTGCCATTTGAGATTTTAGTGTCAAATTTATAACTAAAATTCTTTCCAAAAGAATGTAAAATGAAAAAAAACCAGCTTGATTGGGTCAGTGAAATATTTATAAATCCACCTTAAAGCGGCCTTCAGCTTTTCTAAAGGTTAAATATGTTATTTTGGATAAAATACATAAACAATAAAGAAACATCTGACAGTACCTCTAATCTGCTGGTTCGCTTTCTATATTTAAATCAGTAAAGCGGACAATTTCTTACCCTGATCTTCTATTTTTAGAAAGGAACGTCACTAACGCTCTATATATCTCTAGGAACACTGTTTTAGAGAAAGTTTAACAGGGATATGATTCACTTTTACAAAAGGAAATTGCTTAAATACTTTGTTTGAAACAACACAGAATTTTTTATGCCCCCACAATGTGGGAGCATATAGCGTTGCACTTGTCCGTCCGTCCGTCCGTCAGTCTGCCGTACGTCCCGAAATCTTGTGAACGCAACTCCTCTTAAACCGGATGGCAGATTTTGCTTAAACTTACAGGGATGAACAACCTTAATGTGTAGATGGTAGTAAAGGAAGGAATTTTCGCTGCGACCAAATTTAACAGAATTATGGCCCTTTGTTGATTTTTTCACTAGATACTATGTAGAAATTTTGTGAACGCAACTCCTCTTAAACCGCATGGCAGATTTTGCTTAAACTTACAGGGATGAACAACCTTAAGGTGAAGATGGTAGTAAAGGAAGGAATTTTCGCTGCGACCAAATTTTACAAAATTATGGCCCTTTGTTGATTTTTTCACTATATACTATGTAGAAATTTTGTGAATGCAACTCCTCTTAAACAGGATGGCAGATTTTGCTTAAACTTCCAAGGATGAACAACCTTTATGTGTAGATGGTAGTAAAGGTAGGAATTTTTGCTGCGACCAAATTTAACAGAATTATGGCCCTTTGTTGATTTTTTCATTATATACTATGTAGAAATTTTGTGAACGCAACTCCTCTTAAACCGGATGGCAGATTTTGCTTAAACTTCCAGGGATTAACAACCTTAATGTGTAGATGGTAGTAAAGGTAGGAATTTTTGCTGCGACCAAATTTAACAGAATTATGGCCCTTTGTTGATTTTTAGTTTTCAACTTGTGGCACATGTAGTCCAAAAAATATTTGACCTAGAGTCATAAGATTGACAGAACAGTGGCGTGTGGGGGCATCCGTGTCCTATGGACACATTTCTAGTTTCTAACAGAAAATGAAAGCTGAAGGTGGCTTTAATTTCATATGTGAAAAGTTTAGCCAATTAATTTTAATATGTGAATATATATATGAAATAGGTCATAAACCCAATTATAAGCCTTGTATTTGTTTCCAGTATTAGCTTTTGCCATTACTGTAAATAATTAACGATATTTGTTTTTCTGTATTTCAGCTGCACCAGCGCCACCTATTGGCGGACTAGGGGGATTATTTGCTGGGGGTATACCACGCCTACCTAACAGAGGAGGAAGAACTCAAGGAGGTCCAGGAAGGGGTAATTTGTTTTAAGTTTGACTTTTTGTAGAATAATGGGTTATTTTTCTTGCCATGTTTTTGAATCTTCATAACTCGAACATAATCAAGCTGATTCATCTGGAGGGACGTGTACAGATTGAAAGAAACTAGTTTTTTCAGCATGTGAACATATTTATGTACTTTGATACATAAGTCATTGATGCAAATTGATAGGAGACTCCGAGTTATGGCCCTTGATTAAGCAAAAAAAAAATTTATAGAATTGAGTGACATATTACTGAACAAGTAAAAACTAGTAGAGTAATGAAGTGTTCAAAGAATAGTTGTAATCATGTACATTTGTATACTCATGTACCTGGGTATTTTTTACACAGATTTATTTGAGATCTGCAGAGTTATTCTCCCTGATTAAGGAGGAAACACCTGTGTTGTGAGTACTTGACTAATCGCAAAACTGCTAGAGTGATGAAATTTTCTAAGAATAGCTGTCAGCATGTGAATTATGCATATGTGTTATTTGACACAAATTTAATAATTTGACACAAATTTTTAGTAGATTTGCAGAGTTATGTCCCCTGATAAAACAGAAACAAACATTGATTTAAAAGTACATGTACATCTGGTAGGAGTAAGAATATTAATATGCCATTAAGTGAATTAAGGCACCTTGGTACAATGTAATTAATTCTTTGGAGTTTGGCAGTTATGGCCCTTGAAAAAAATGGCAAGGCGCCTTGGTAATTTAATAGTTCTTTTGAGTTAGGCAGTTATGGCCCTTGAAAAAAAAGGCATATATTTGGGCTTGTAACTCCAAAAATGTAACTCATATGTTTATATCCACTAGTAATTGCACAGCATTTTTGTGCAAAAATACAGAGGAATGTATGATCATACGTGTCTGATGGACACACACCTAGTTTGAAAATTTTTGCTTTAATTTTTGTTTTATTTTTCAGCCCCAGGATCAGCACCATTACGGCCTCCAGGAGCCAACAGTAGGCCAGTACATTCAAATAGCAATAGTGTAAATCATAATGTAATGAATGGACCATCAAGGGGAGGGCCACCGCCCCCACCCCCGACGACAAATAAACCAAGACATGCTCATAGTGAAACTGACTTATCTGAACATAAATCAGTGTCTAATTCTATAGCTAACTTTAAAAAAAGTAGTGATAATATTATTTCTAATTCACATCCCAGTAGAAGTTCAGGGGCAGCTCCAGGAGTGCCTAAATCACAGCCTCCGCCTCCACCAAGCAGAGGACCGCCTTCAGCTCCGCCTGGGGGTGGATCACATGGTGCTTCCAGTTCAAACAGACCTCCTCCTCCAAGTTCAAGGCCGCCTAGTATGGTCGGACGCCCACTTCCTCCTCCCCCTTCTCCAGGATTAGGAAACAAACCTGGCGGGTCATTCCCTCCCCCACCACCCCAAATGCAAATAGATTTGCTCCTCCCCTCCCCCTTCCAGTGCAAGCAAACCTCCCCCTCCCCCTTCAAGTGCAAACAAACCTCCTCCACCCCCTTCAAGTTCAAATAAACCTCCTCCCTCTCCCATGCAAAATTCAAGGTTTCCACCTCCCCCGCCAGCAAATGTCCCACCTCCACCCCCCTCTTCTCGTCCACCCATGATGAAAAGTGGACCACCACCTCTTCCTCCTTCATCTAATCCTCCTGGACGACCAGGTCCACCTCCCCCTCCCCAGAGAACAACCCCTGTAAATGGAACGATAGGAAGATCAGGAAGGTCGGGTCCTCCCCCACCCCCATCCAGACCACAACATTCCCATGCACCTCCACCCCCAGAGAGAAGATCTTCGTCACATTACTCAGGATCTGGAGGGGATGGTTTGTATTTTACTTCTTTTATTTGTTACATTATTTTCCATGCTTCATGTTAATTGGGTCAATGTGAAGGCCAATGAGGCTAAAATTATGTTTTTCTGCATTTTAGCTCACCTGAGCAATAAGTGCATAAAGGTGAGCTATTAGAATCAGTCATTGTGGTCGTCAGTATTTTGGAGTTAGAAACTTGAGGGTTTTATAGTTTTGATAAAATCAAATATCTGTATTTTCTTTTTGTCATTGATTTATGTTATGAGCACCTATCTATGTTATATATGTATTATTGTTTGGCATAAATAATTCTAAAAATATTCATGTATATACATGAAGTTTCATACATGATGTCAAAGATATCTTGACTTAACAAGCTTACGGTAATACAATCAAGTAAGGGGTTGCCTATTCAACCAGTGTAGAACAAGTTTAGCTTGCATATGTGCTGCTTGTGGAGTTTAAAATTTTGATGAAAAAAATAATTTAATCTAGATTAATAACAATGAGTCATTTCGAATAAAAATCTTGGCAAGTTTATTAAGTTACACTGATTTTGTGGTATTAAGGTTCAATACTAACATGCTTTTGGTTTACATTAGATCTTTTGAGTATTTTGTTGTAGCTGATATATATATATATATATTTTTCAGAATTTGAAGTACGATTCCACTTTCATAACGCAAATGAATTTCCTCCTCCTGAGCCGATGGGAAAACAAAATAAAACTTACCCTAGTAAAAATGTGAAAACAAACAATGGTACAGTATAGCTTTGTTTTATACTTTATGTATTTTAAATTGGGCAGCTATCCAGTTTCTTAACTGAAGGTTGAAGGAGCAGCTGTGGCAGAGTGGTTAAGGTCATTTGACTTAAAACCATTTGCCCCATACTGCTGTGGGTTAGAATCCCGCTACAGACTTCGGATTCCTTCATGTGAGGAAGATAGCTTGTGGACTGTCGGTGGTTCTACTCAGATGCCTGTTTTTGCCTGAAATAATGCTCATAATACCCTGTTGAATCTACCCAAGCAACCAGTTCAGACCAACAGACCAAGTTTGTGACATTGGATCATGGTCTTCACCATTCAATCAGTATTTTTAAATTTTCCCTTAAAATAATGAATGGTTCTGTCTGGATTGAAAGATGGACAAGTCCATTTAAGATATTTAGGGTGGTAAGGTTTAAATAACACAATGGACAAGCTCCTTATGAATAAACCTCTGAATTTTCCTGTCTATAGTTCTGTGACTATACTGTCTTAAACTATGCTGTGTTAAATCAATATTTTTTTTTTGTTACAGAAAGAAGAGCACCCCCTCCACCACCCCCAGGTAACCATTGATCAAATTGTATAGACCTAGTGACGGTAACAATCATATAAAATCAATCACTTACGACAAACAGAATCATGACCATACTGTACCTTTTTTTATGGTCATTAGTCTGTTATCACTTTCTTCAATGCACGCATATCGACAATTTTCAAACTTAGAAAATGATACGAATGTCAGATGCATAGCTGCTGTTAGTAATGTTGACTGTGCATTTCTATTGGATGGAAGTTCTTACTGGAATAAGATGTTTTTAGTTTTGCCAATGGATTCAGGGATGCTGGTCGACTTGACCAAAGGTGGAAAAAAATTACTTCTAACAAAAGCTCTACTACCTGAAAAACAGAAAGGAAATAGTGGATATTAGTTTAGAAAGACTTGAGGGTGCAACTTGTAAATGAGTATTATGTTCTAAATTAAGAGTGTTCTCATTTTGGTCTGTGATCTTGATTGTGTGGAAGCTTCTGCTTCAAGATGAGATCCATGTCCCCAAGAATGATGATATTTGAAAGCTTTTGACAATGGTGATCAGATCTGAATCTTTGAGGAGCTTATTTAATGTACTGTTAGTGTGGCATACATTCTTTGATCTTGATTATTTGAAAGCTCTTAACATTTGAGAACAGATCTGCATCACATAGAAGCTTAGTTTGGTGCTGTAAGATAGTACTGCCTTTGCATGATGGGAATGTTTTATATATGTGTCTGCTTGAATTGACAGTTGTATTTCTCCATAGAAATGATTCTTTGGTGAAGGGACCTAGTGAGATATAAAGTAAAAACAATTATTGGAAAATGTGATATTACTAAACCAGTGTTTTTACAATACCCATGTATTATAAATTGCAAAATTGTTAATGTCTGAACAAGAGGGACTCTGATGAAACTGATCAAAAGTCAGTCGATATCAAACATATATGCACAAACACAGATTTAGGGGAACGAAAATTATACTGAACTGTGGGTGGAGCTAGGAAGTGGGTGGAGTCTGAAATTTCCAAGGAGCTGCAACTCATAAATCAAATGTGCATTCAAAGTACTAAAGAGAACCCTGAAGAAATGATGATTTTTATTTATAAACGGCACTGGTCGAAGACGGCCATCACAGTCAATTTGATAACCAGAAGAGAGTGATATTTTTATATCATTAAATCCTGTTCATTCCAGTGATTCTATTAACATTATGTTACGGGGGAGAAAATAGTTATAGATCTATAGTCAACATTTATGATTAAATTCTGTTCATTTCTTGAACTGCTGCCGTATTCTATACTTTAATCAAACAAAAATTTCATTAGTCAATTCAAGCTTGTTTTTTTTGTTTATAATCATGTAAAGATATGACAAAATTTGCCATTACCCATTAATTAGTCATTATTTTGTGGTCTTTTTTTATCAACATTGATAATTTAATATGAGAAATTGAATTTTCAATTTTTGTGGATCATTCAGTCACAAACAGATGCGCAGGCTGGTCTGGATCCATGCTGGTCGCAAACGCACTATGTTGGTTTTGTCGTGTGGCGGCTCAATTATATTTATTTATCATCTGTTTTCAAAAAAAAAAAAAAAACTTTTGTTTCATCAAAACTTCACGAGTGAATAAATTGATATAACTTGAGACACTATAATTTTGTTTCTTTGTTAAAGATAATATTTTAAGTGCATACAAAATGGAATATTTACACTTTAACAGTTGGGATGTTTTCAAGCAAATTACTTATACCCGTATCATGCTATATTTATGTAATTGATTACCTTGATTGAATTTGGAGCGGCCCATTGCTCATGTGTGGGGGGGTTTTTATTATCAAGCAGTAGGCAGTAAACATTGGTCAATCTGAATGGTTGCGCAAGTGTAGCCGCGACTCTTTACGAGTAAGTAAAAGATAGTCGAACCCGAAACTATTTCTTTTAAAAATTGATAAAAAGGTGCTCTTAGTTTTTTACTTCCAAAACCTGAGTCTGAGATTTACCGTATGATAATATGATTATTAATTGCAGTATCGGTCTTACATATGTCATGATATTATATAAGTTAAGTCGGGGGTACTGTAATATTTATAATCAAATATTTGAACTTATTTCAGGTTATAGGTCTAAATATTTGCTTGGCTTACTGCATATAATTCAATAGTTCTCTTTTTTAAGTTTTGGCGTAGAGAAAATGGCAGACAGCAAATTTTGTTTGTAGATTGTTATATGTGTACGATTTTATTTTATATACAGTTGTATGTATTTTTATGTATGTATTTTTTTGCGATTTTTTTTCCGCTTAAGCATTCCCTTCTTTTACATTTCATGTGCTATTTTCAGAGAGGGTGTAATGAATACTGTATTACTATATGATTAGATATACATAGATATATATTTAAAGTATTGTTTCCAAATTGTATATTTATCATTTTTACAAATTTGTAAAAATATAAGATAAATTAATTCCATTACTGATTAAAATAATAAGATCAGTGTTTAAATAGTTTGAGCTCACAAAAAAAAAAACAACACAAAAACAAACCATAAATTGTTAAACAGATTTAAAGTCTACTTTGAGTTGCATTGTGGGTTTTTCCTACAGCAACATTTTGTTGTCATCCCATTAAATTAATTTGCCGGGCTATTTTGGTAAAAGGTAGCCTTGCTCTCAATGACATATATTATCTTTTAAAAAATGTCAAATTAAGGCAAAGAAATAATAATAATGTTGGTGTGCCAAAACATACATTTGTAACTGTGTTTGTCTAACATGGATGAATATAGCTACAAATTCTTGTGTAGAAATACAAATTTAAAGGCTTCAACACTGTAAAAATGACTGATTTTTCGATTATTTTTCGATTGTTCAGGTATTACTTTGCCACTTAATCAGGAATCGAGTTTACACATGACATAATTAAGAACTTTGGGCATTTTAGATGAAACTCATTTCAAAATTATTGGGGTTTCAAAAATATGGTATAAGCATACTAGCTTTATTTTGTTTATTGTTTTTTAAATTTTGTAAATCACTTAAGAGGTTTTTTTGTTTTTAAAAAAAAAAAAAAAAAGATTCATTCAGACATATTTTGTGAAAAAAAGATTCATTCAGACATATAAGTACAAATGTAAGTTTTAAAAACATGACTGTGTACCACTTAATTGATTTCTTGCTAAACCATAGGTCATGGTGTTATATAAATCATTGTGTTGGGAGATTTTTTCCGCAATTTTAATCAAGAATTTGGATTTTTATTTGCATAGTAAAATATATACAATAAATTATATAATCAGTTATACATTTCGGAATTGTGTTTTCAGTATATGATGAAAATATAAACCAGTTATATTCAAGATGGTTTTAAGATTATATACAAAATTAGGTTATATAACAGTTATATGGCCCAAATATAAACAGAAAAAGTGTGTATAACCTGAGGCACTAGGTAAGTGTGATGTTGCAAATAAACCTTACCCAGACATATAACCTGTTAGTTGTCAACTTGGGTTATATTGTAAACAAGTTATAACAAGGTCATATAACCTGTAGCTTGTCAACTTTAGCCATTAAGCAAAGGTTATATAGCAAACAAGTTATAAAATAGCCATATAACCTGTCACTTGTCAACTAACACCACTAGGCAAGGGTGATACTGCATAACATGGCCATATAACCATTCAAAGGTCAACCTGAGTCATTAAGGCAACAGTGATATTGCAAACAAGTTGTAACATGACCATATAACCTGTCACTTGTCAACTTTAGCCACTAGACATGGGCGATATTGCAAACAAATTATGTTTGGACTTATAATATGACATTTGTCAACTTAAGCCACTAGGCAAGGGTTATATTGGCAGACAAGTTTAAACATGACCCATATAACCTGTCACTTGTCAACTTTTTAGGCAAGGGTGCATACCTGCAAAACTAGGCAAGGGTGATACTGCAAACAATTATTAATACATGTCAACCATAGGACATAACCTGCCTTTATGATATTAAGTTCTCAATTTAGCCACTAAGGCAAAGATAATATTGCAAACAAGTTATAAAAAATATAACCTGTCATAAGTCTATTATGCCATATAATCATTAGTCCTTTATATGAAATACATTTATGCACAATTGCTCTCTATATAAGATAAAAATTAATTCATACAATTTAAAGCAGTGGTATATATAGATAAAACACATATAAAAATTGTGATTGTCCAATAAAAATTGATGTTACAAATTTAACTTACAGTTATATAATACGGTGTATAAAAATGAGTTAAAATCATTTTGATTGTTACCTGAATTTTTTTCTTATCTGAATTCTATTTGATATGTAATAAGATTACAGGCAGTAATAAGGATACTTTGCCAGAAGAAAGGGGAACCTGTCTGAAAATAGATCCCTGGAAAATATGCTCAAATTATTATTTTTTTCTTTGCATTCTTTTTGTTTGTTTGTTTGCATTTATAAACTGCTGAATATGTTGAGAGAAAAAAAAACACATTGATTTAAACAAAGTTTTCTTGTAGCTAAAGAAAAATTACATTTTTGAACATATGTTAAATTTATACATTTACATGTTTGTATTGGGAACGTCTTAAAGGAATGGACATTTTGTTGAATGAAATTTGATATACCTATTATTAAATTGAAATGATATAATGAAAAAAAAAAATGAACTTGCATTTATATATTTAATCAGTGATACTTTAATTCTGTATATACAATGTAGAAAATGGTTAGATTTTTAAAAATCTTGTGTATTATACTTGATTGAGAGAGATCTAGTTTATTGAATGAAGTTCAGGCTGGATTCTGACTTAATATTATAGACGTAGTTCTTTTTAGAAATAGAGGTATGGTGTACAGTGTTGGGTATTTGGAAATAATGAATTTTTTTTTTATATAACGAGAGATGAAATTCATTTGAATTTTAAGCTCACTAGTAAAATTTATACTTTTACATAGAGCTTTCTTTTTGCAGTATGCTTGATTTAACCTAACTCTGCAGGGAACGAAAAATGACTAGAGCTTGTGGCACCAGTATAGAGCTTAGGCTAGCCTTCTTCTCCATGCAGTATGATCAGGCTAAATATTGTTGGATGAATAACTTGAAAAATTTCATCCTGAAATCCTAAAAATTGATAATGAACAGTTCCAAAATTAGAAGCTGGGCAAAGTCCATTTAATTCAGCAGAGTGAATTGATCTTTGGTTATTACCATGATGATACTTATTTTGATTGTTTTTACCCCTTAAAACATTAAATTGAATAGTGGACTTGCCCTTGCTATGCAGTTGGAATCTTCCATTGTTTATTTATGGGTGTGTCAGTGAGAAAAAGTGAAAATTCATCAGCCCCCATAAAACATTGAATTGTATAGTGGACTTGCCCTTTCTATATAGATGGAATCTTCCATTGTTTATTTATCGGTTTGTCAGTATGAAAAAGCTAGAATTCATCAGCCAACAGTATAGAGCCTGGGCATGAATATTCAGGCTGGCCTGATTGTATATTGGTGGCGGTGGCAAGTCGGCACTTCAGCTGACATCGACATGTAGTTATAGGGAAATAAAATGTTCCAAAATTATTCATAAAGACGATATTTATCGGCCATTGCTGATAATTAGAAACACATTAAAAGAATTCTTTTCTTACTAAGAATCTGGTTCTTTCTTTACCAAAAAATTTGTAAATTCTATCGAAATAAACTAGAAAATCTCACTTATTTCAAGTTTTAAAAAATTCCTTCCAACCCTTTGTATACCTTTATATATATTAACTTTTCTAATACATCAGTCAGTGAATTCACTGCATTTATGTTTTGTTCACCTATATTTATTTGTAATGCAATCATTTGATTCATGTCTTTATTGTTACAAAAGTTTATGTGTTACATGTCAGATCAATATTATTTTTACATTTTTTTGTCTTGTCTTAAAAGATTATGTCTTGTCTTAAAAAATTCTGTTTAAAGCCATATCAGTAAATGTTGTTAAATTTGTGCCAGTTTTATGTTTTATAATTGAGCCGCGTCACGACAAAACCAACATACAGTAGTGCGTTTGCGACCAGCATGGATCCAGACCAGCCTGCGCATCCCCGCAGCAGATCAGGATCCATGCTGTTCGCTTACCAACCCTATTACAAGTTGAGAAACTGATAGCGTTTGCACAGGCTGGTCTGGATCCATGCTGGTTGCAAACGCAGTATGTTGGTTTTGTCGTGATGCGGCTCAATTTATCTCTTGCTCCTCTGCCTGTAGTATTTCATTTATAATCCTGCCGTGCTTATTAAATGGGAAGATATTGATGGAAATATATCGAGATTCATCGTAGCCAGTACTTACTTATGTCAGTTATTCTAGGTTCCAATTTGACATTCACTGAATCTGCAGAATTTATAAAATGGATTTGCCCTTATTTTGAATTTTGGCAGAGTCCATGTGAAAATTTAGGGATTTCTGTATGAAAATAACAAAATTGAGCTACCAACAGTATAGAACCTGGTCAGACTACATGATTTTGCCGGCTTAGTTTGGCTCTATACTGCAAACAAAGGCAAATCTCA